CACGCAGAAAGATCCCGGGCGACCTTCTTGCAGCGAGGCAAAGATGCTAACCACCGCGCCAACTTGCAGCCCAGACATTATGTTATTTATTTTTATTTTTTTTAAATGTGAAATCACGCTATGGTTAAATCCTACGTAAGGGATCTTCTCAGGCTTTCATGTGATGTTTTGAGTCATATTATAAATTTTTTTAATCAGCATTCTTGAGTTTTGTTGCATCTTTGTACATTTCAGTACGTTCTCTTGTGGTTACACCTACGCTGTGCAAAAAAATCCATTAAGAATATGTTACAATATGGTGGAATGAAATGAAATGAAATGAAAAATACTTTATTTATCCCAGAAGGGAAATTCAATTGGTTTAATGGTTTAATGAATGGTTTAACGTTCAAAAACTGTAAAAATAATAACATCGAATTCTTAAAATAAAGTGTTAGTAATTGATTTAAATAGAACAAATAGTGCAACTTTACAGTCAAATGCTGTGAAGGAACAAGTTATTGTCCATAAAAATACACATTATTTACAGTTTTGGCCTGGTTTCCTGTTTTTGTGATGGTACTAGTCTGTCTAATTTTTTTATTTTTTTTAAAATGTGAAAACCTGTAAGAGCTGAAAAACAACTGTACATGTTCTCCTCTTTAAGAAATTTGATTATCACATCAATAAAATGCCTTATGTAGAAAAGGCCCCAAAGTTATAGCTATAGCATATAGCACTGTTGTTGGTGTTGTGCCTTTCCATTGCAAAGTTTATTAGTGTTTATTTGATTATTACCCTTGTGGGCGGGCCAGCTCACAGGGTGGCTGTGATGTGGGTGACGTCACATGTGTGCTGAGGGGGGCGACGATCTTGCAGGATCGTGGCTCCAATTAAGACGTGAAGAAAGGAAGACAGTATTAAACCTGCATCTCAGTCTGTATTCACTTCACTACTCTGAACGGCCTATAGTGCTCTGGCCAGCACTCTCGTATCCAACCCTGAGCCAGCACCCTACACGGCAGACATGGTGTTTCCTCCCCTACACCTTAAACTCCTGAGTTAATGCGCTAAGACGAGACCTCATCGCAGCTTCTCAGTGGTTGTGTCATTTGTGGCTTTGGAACTTCAGACCACAGAACAGTCCCGTCACAGCAGAATCTAAAAATCCAGCCTGTCACGAAATGTCACAAAATCTTGTAAGAAAAGAGAACGAAAGCAGCTGTACCGGATTTCAGCAACATTTTAATTCAACACAGAAGCACTGAAAAGTCGTCAAACATGCCGACATGCATTTGAAAACAACAAGTAACGGCCATTTTGTTCAGGCTGTTCAGAAAACACAAAAAAAAATGAAGCAAATATATGATATTAATTAATAATTCCACTTCAAAACTTTATGACAACAATGTCTTTTAATTATGTAACACTGGAGCAAAAAAAGTGAAGTGCATTCACTACTAGAAAGCAAAAAACATTTCAACACTTTGAGGTCACAAATGTGTGATCATTCTGAAAAACACTCTTTCATTTGTGGTCGCTTGTATAAAGCATCCTATAATAGAGATTTTCATTCAATAAAAACACAAAAGTAAAAAGGATCCATTGCAAGTTTTTGGTGAATAAAAAGACTAAATAACGATGCAGTATTTATAGCCTAGCCTGTATTATAGTAATCCTTATGACTTACCAATAGGGGACGAGCCCCGAATCATGGAAACAACTTCAGGTAGATTTTCTTGAAGCAGCCGCCATCTTGAAAAGTTTTTAAAACGGCCTGAGTCTCAGTCAACAGAGGTAGAAACGCGTGATCTGTTCAACTGAGGATGCAGGTGATTGTACCAGAGGTGGCCAGCATCATCAACGGATGATTTAGGCAAAAAAAAAAAAGAAAAGACTTAGGCCATTATTTTAGGAAGGTGACGACATGCAACCATGTGTAAAATTAAATGAATACAAACAGTGTCATATAAAAGCATTTCCAAACTGTTCTCACCTCAAGAGCGACTGATTACGCTGGTCTACACCCATTTTGGTGTCAAAGTTTTTTGAGCTGATTTAGGACCATTGTATGTGCTGAATCCAAATCTTACATTGGTTTTGCTCAATGAGGTCAACATGTTGATTTGATGAAACATGCAATTTACTTGTATTTACCTTTACAAATGTTTACGCTGATCAACTTTTGGATCATTTAGCTTATGAAAAGGATTAGAAAATTACATTTTTCCACTAAAATACAGTTTCATATGAGAAATACTAAAATAAATCAATCGTTAATGTCAAAAAATGTAATGGATTTAGTGGGAAAATCGATTTTTTTCTGTTTTTTCTTTTTAAAAAAAAAATCAAGCTGGCATAAAACCTGATCTGATACAGAAAGGCAGATGTCATTTTTGGATTCAGCGTTGCAAAAATGTCCTAAATCAGTTAAAAAAATTCTAGACACCTTCAAAAAAGTATTTTTTTGTAACCCAGTGTTATTTGTTGAGTGGTTCCATCATGACGGCAGAGTTTTGCGCCGCAAAACCAGCCTGAACAACGGAAGCGTTCTGGCCGGTGCCTCTCATCTGGTTCTTCCTGCACACGCTGCCACATTGAAAAAGGTGCAGCAGATGTCCTCGCAGCTTTTGTGCGAGCATGTACAGCAGAGGATTCATGCAGCAGTGTGAGTAGGCAAGTGCGCGACAAATATGAAATGCAATGATCAGCTGTTCCTCCGCCTTACAGTCAGTGGGTTTGTACAAAAGTATGATGAGAATCAGGAAGTTAAAGGGTCCCCAGCAGAAGAAGAAGGCTGCAACAATGCACAACACCAAAACCACAGTCCTGTGTCTTTTTCTGTTTGAAGTCTGCAGAATGGTTTTGAGGATGGCAGAGTAGCAGAAAACAATGATGGCAAACGGGAGGAAGAAAAGCAGTGACACTTCGAGGTAAAATCCCAGCTCGAAATCAACTCTATCTAACTCACAGTAGAATTTATCCTGCCAGTTGTGCACCTGTGCTCTGAGTGCATGATAGAGGGACACAGCAACGCTGAGGAGCCAGGCGGCTGCACAGGCCCCAGCTACACCCCTCTTCCTCCACAAGTTCTTGCTCGGCCATTTGTGCAGCACCACAGTTATGAAGCGATCCACCGTCATGGCAGTCAGGAGAATGATGCTGCTGTACAGACCGACTAACCCCATCGCTATAATGACTTTGCAGAGAAAGTACCCGAAGACCCAGTGGTGAAGGTGGTAGGTGGCCCAGAACGGAAGCGTGGCGGTGAAGAGCAGGTCGGAGCAGGCCAGGTTCAGGACAAACATGTTGGTGATGTTTTTCAGATCCTCATAGATGACCATAACACACAACAGGAGACTGTTGCCCATGACACTGACGACAAAGATCAAGATGAGGATGGCACCGGTGACGGTTGAGATGTCAAATTCTTCTATGTCACAAGTATCACTGTAGTCCACTTCTTCAGCAGGTGTTGTGGTGCTGTTTGCCATTGTAGATCTTCTGGGGAAAAATCAACAGAAAACTTTCAAAATGCAGTTAAGACTGAATAGATGTCTGAAAGCTTTGCTTCAAAAATGAACTTCTTATGGAATCGTTAAAACAAAGAGAGTCACGACGAAATATAGAGAACAACAATGGTGTAAAAGCACTAAGTGACTCACTCTGAGCATCAGCCGGCCGGTCTGGTGTTGAATGGCACGGTGCAGGAAATGTTCTAGTAAAGAAGGAAGTTACACTTCCTCTTTTTGTTTCATGTTAAGTCAGAGATACTTGCACAGCTAAACTTTCTTCAAATCTATTTTCCACAACAAACATTAAACAGAACACAAGTTAAAAATAACATTCCATCCATCCATCTATCATCTAGTGCAGCAGTCCCCAACCACCGGGCCGCGGACCGGTACCGGTCCGTGGGTCATTTGGTACCGGGCCGCACAGAAAGAAAAAAACGTTTGGTACGTGTGCAATGAAAATGTTCTTGTGTAAAATCGGTCCTTTGTGCAAAAAAGGTTGGAGACCGGATTAAAATCCCTCCAGCCTTTGTTGTTGATTTG